CTGCAACGGGAGGAGAAGCGGGTCAGGTAAGTGTCGTTTAGGTGCGGGTGGGGTGGGGGTGCACGGTGGGTGGGGTGGGGGGTGGGGGGGGGTTGGGGTTAGGGGTGCACGGGTGGGGTATGTGGGGTGGGTATGGGTGGGGGGTAGGGGTGGGTGGGGGTGAGTGGGTGGTAAGGGGTGTGTGGGGCGGGTAGGGGGTGTATGGGTGGGTAAGGGGTGTGTGGGGGGTAGGGGGTGTATGGTGGGGTGGGTAAGGGGTGTGTGGGTGGGTAGGGGTGCACGGGTGGGGTGGTAGGGGTGTATGGGTGAGTGGGTAGGGGTGTGTGGGGGGGTATGGGTGGAGTGGAGGTGTGGAGTCTGCAGGTGGGGGAAGGTGGTAAGGGATTTGCTTGTATGTGCAAATAAAAAACAAGAAAAGATGAAACAGAAGGGTGAAATATATATGCTTACATTCATAAATACGTATGGCTACACAGACATAAAGGCACATTATACCTGGCTAAACACACAACGTTCCAGACCTAAACCGGACGCCAAGCCCCGCCGCCCGAGCCACAGACGCGAGCCAGCCTCAGCCTCAGCCTCAGCCTCAGCCTCAGCTTCAACCTCAGCCTCAACCTCAGCCTCAGCCCCAGCCTCAGCCGCCTCCTCCCCCTCCTCCTCCTCTGCTGAGAAACAATGCCTGGTCTTTGGGAAATGTCGCCGGCGGCGCGAGGCGGCTCTCGGCCGGAGTCCAAGGGGCCTCAAGCAGCCGGATTTTCCCTCCGCTACGGCTGACCGAGGCGGCGAGTTTTTGCTGCTTTTCGCCTTTTTCCTTTTTCTTTTCATCCTTTTTGAGGGATGGAAGAGCATGGCAAACTTGCAGAAGAAGAATTCATCTTTATCAGAGTCGCTGGCAGCAGGAAACTGGCATCTGGATGGCGCATTAATCTCCCTACAAAGAGTGTGGTTTATCTGCATCTTACAACGTGTATACGACTTGTTTTCAACGTTTCACTATTCCTACTTTATCATCTCAATCACCGATCTTCTTTTCTTATCCACATCCCTTTGCATTCCCCTCCTTTCCTTCGGCCTTCCCATCCATCTCCCGCGCGGCATCAGTCCCTGGCCTATAAAGTGCTGCGTGAGTCTGACGGGGAATTACCTGTCGCTCAGCAAGGCGTGCGGCGGAGATTGGAGAGCGGCGGGGCGAGAGGGGGAGAGGGGGCGAGAGGGGAGAGGGGCAAGAGGGGAGAGGGAGAGGGGGAGAGGGGCGAGAGGGGAAAAGGGTAAAGAGGGGAAAGAGGGGATACAGTTGGGACTAGAGTGGGAGGAGTGGGATCGGAGGACGGAGAGGAGCAGTAGCTAGGAGAGGGAGCGATGGCCGCATCCCAATCAAATGGCAAGGCAAGTTGGACTTTACAAGAGGGCTTCCGCTTGATCCTCAGCAGCATGAATTCTCTCACGCTCTAGCTATTGCTCGCTCTCGCTCTCTCTCTCTCCTCTCCTCCTCTCTCCTTTCCTTTTCTCCTCTCCTCTCTACTCTCCTCCCTCAATGTTCCTCTTCCTATCCTTCACCTTGGACCCTCCCTTCTCAATCCTTCTCTCCTCAGCCTTCCCTTGAGGACCCCCCCCCCCAGGTGAAAAGCCAGCCCCGAGGCGAAAAAACCGCGGAAGTGCTGCCTGGCGCACTCGAGTCCCCCTCGACGGAGAGAGAAGAGCGGCCGACGAGCTGCGCCTGAAAAGTCTGAGTCGCACTCGAGACCTTCTTGAGACGAAGGAGGCGTTACATAAAGTCTTAAGTAATAATTACCACAGCGCACCGCCAAGATGTTGGGGAGTGAGCCCGCGTCCGAGGCAGCCTCTGCACGAGGGCTGTCCTGTCAGACGACGCGGGACATTCGACGCAAAATGTGATCTTTCAAACAAAGGTCCCGGAGCCACTCCCTTTGGAGTCGTTCGGCGCTGTCGACTCAGCATCCGATCAGCTGTTCGGAGTCAGTGTGCCGACACGGCTGATCTCCGCGACGCGCGGAATCGGAATTCACACTTCCGACCAAGCTGTCACTGACAAGGCGGCGGCGGCGGCGGGGCCCTTTGTGGCGGAGAAGGGAGCGGATCCCCGGCAGCGCTGCCGCCGCCTGGCCCGTCTTCTGCGCCATAACACACCCTGCAGAATACAACCGAGGAAGAAACTTGCCTGTGTCTGCCGGTCCCTTTCATAGGTTCTGCTTCCGAGCGCATTCTCCGCGACACCAAGCACGGCCGAGGCAATTAACAGGGCATGCTCGGTCCCGGCGGATGGGCGCGGCGGCGCTAAAGGACTCCTGGCATGGAGGAAGCCCTCAAGAGCCTCGGGCAGCGCGGCCCTGGGGCCTTAGGGAGGAGGGGGGCGCTGAGCCCTTTTCTCCTGAGGAGACGAGCACTTTGCCTTTTGCGGAGTTTCACACACATTAAGGTTTCCAAAATTTGACATCGGTTGAAGGCTCCTCCTCGGAGCCCCGCCTCAACGCCTAGAGGCATACTTGTGCACATATACATACAAACATATATACATGTATACATGCACACATACATACATACATAGATACATACATCTATACATACATACATACACATACATACATATATACACATAAATACACACAGATACATACGCACATATATGTGTGTGTGTGCGTATACATGTCTATAAATATCAATATAAACATATGAATAAATAAATGAATGAATATATATAAAAATATATACATATGCATATAAATGTGCACCTATGTACGTTTTCAAGCATCCATATTCGTACAACACAAAGTGCTTTGACTGCAGCCCGACGCGCGCGCGGGCGACCAGCCAGAGCCGCCCGTGACGACCCTTCGGCGCAGCGGCTTAGCGCCCGAGCGACTTCCGTAGTTCCTCCGCCTCGCGACCTCCTGTCACACGCCTCGACCCTTGACCCGTTTCTTTGTCTCTTGCACTCCTCCTCCCTGCTTGCGAGGCTCGCTCAAGCTGCTTCGGGCTGACCGAAACGCAAGGGCACCCGCTCCGGGATCACGATGTCACTGGGATTTCGGCGCGCCCCTCCGCGGCAACAGGTCTCCCCGCGCGGGAAACGTGTCTGACAGCGCTCTGGTATTCTTTCTCTTCTGCAGTGTAGCACTAGCACTCAACCTCAATAAAAGCTGTGAAAGTCTCGACCCTCGAACATGAACGGCCGATCGCTTCCAGCTCGAGCCGTTTCCACATCCGTTCTACCGGCCGCTCTCGCGCGTTCCGAGCCGTCCTGTCACTGCCAATCAGTCGCTGCGCGAACGGCCGCTTTTTAGATTCGAGCGCTTGATGGAAAATTCTTGCAAGGCGACGTGAATCTTAGCTAAGGAGTGCGCTGCGAACGGTTAACTTGGCGCGCTTTTATATCAAAAGAAAAAGCGTTCAGGGAATGGTAAGAAAAAATGCTGGTAATCCGACCGGTCGTAATTTTGCCGGGAAAAATTCCGATTCATTTTTTATATTACTAACTTCCCGTTAGTGATAAAAACCCTTGTTTTAAAAAATACCGCCCAAAACAACCCCTAGCGCCACAACGGCTCGATTTATGACTACCAAGGCACACTGAGCACACCTCGCGCCGCGGGGACTGCATCGCGTCCATTGGCTCTTCCGATGGCCGGCGATGCTGCGCGGGGCGAGCGTGAATCACCTCGACATCAAAATGGCAGACCTCGACCCAGGCTTTAAGAATGAACATGATTTGAATTTTGAATTTAAACCATTTTTTCAGTGTAATATCTAGGTCTGGGTGGCAGGGTTTAGAGTGAGGGGGTGTCCGCCAACAGGGCCATTCCACCTTCAGAGAGGGTCTGTTACCTGAACCAAAGTTTTTTTTTCCCTAATTGAACGGTATTGGTACAGTTGGAACGTTATCAGGACCCTATTGCAAAGGTACTGGAACGCTACCAGAACCTTAAAAAATCGGTTTGGATCAGCAAACAGAAATTGGAACGGTTCAGGACATTGAGTTGTCGGCAAGAGAAGGGAAGGGAACGGTATGAGAGCGCGACCGGCGTGCGATGAACTTTACTGGCCGTTGCGTCACCGTCGCTCAAGTTCCGTTAACGACCCATCAGTTTCATCATCACTGTGTTAAGGACTCACTGCCGTTCATTACTCTGAACGGAAGGAAAAGAACAAAAAATTGAGCACGCATCCCAAACTCAACCGACCCAACAGCTCCTTTCATTAGGAGATCCGTTAACGGCCACTGGTGTTCCTTGTAGACTCCGTTAAGGTCCTACCGACCTCCCCGTTCCCGTGCCGTGCCTGGGTCGCTACGGGGACGGGGGCGACAACGGAACGCGTGGAACAGGGGCACAAGGCGACAACGGAACGCGTGGAACAGGGGAGGCGACAACGGAACGCGTGGAACAAGGGGCAATACGGAAGCGTAAGGGGCGACAACGGAACGCGTGGAACAGGGCACAAGGCGACAACGGAACGCGTGGAACAGGGGCATAAGGCGACAACGGAACGCGTGGAACAGGGGCACAAGGCGACAACGGAACGCGTGGAACAGGGGCATAAGGCGACAACGGAACGCGTGGAGGGGCATAAGGCGACAACGGAACGCGTGGAACAGGGGCACAAGGGCGGAACGCGTGAACAGGGGCGCGACAACGGAACGCGTGGAACAGGGCATAAGGCGGAACGCGAACGCACAAGGCGACGGAACGCGTGGAAACAGGGGCATAAGGCGACAACGGAACGCGTGGAACAGGGGCACAAGGCGACAACGGAACGCGTGGAACAGGGGCATAAGGCGACAACGGAACGCGTGGAACAGGGGCATAAGGCGACAACGGAACGCGTGGAACAGGGCAAGGCGACAACGGAACGCGTGGAACAGGGGCATAAGGCGACAACGGAACGCGTGGAACAAGGGCAACAAGGCGACACGGAACGCGTGGAACAAGGGCACAAGGCAACAACGGAACGCGTGGAACAAGGGCATAAGGCGACAACGG